AAATAGGCTGTAGAATTCTCTCGAACAAAAAAAAAAAATTATTATCACAAAAACGTTGCTTCATTTTAATTATTATTATGTATATAAATATAAATATATGTATCTTTTTAAGATTACTCCAATATGAAATATGTGGGGAAAAAAAAAAACTATTTCGCAATGTGTAAAAATCAAGAAATAATAATAATAATGATAATTTTATTAATAATAGCAGCGAAGAAGAGGAAAAAAAAAAAAAAAAAAAAAAAAAAAAAAACGTTGGAGTCACTGGCAAGCACATGACCCCCCAAGTGATATTTTAGCAACTCCAAAATCAGGTTTTTTTTTTTTTTTTTTATACCTAAACCACATCGTTTAAAATAACTTGACCATCTTTAAAATTTATTCAATATTCGATCGAAACAAAAAAACAAATTCAAGTTTTATATATATATATATATATGGACTTGAAAGTAAAACTGAGAAATTTGCCAAAACCGTTGTTAAAAGGTTGCGCCATTTTTTTTTTTTTGTTCTTATAAGTATGAGTCTTCACTTACCTTTAAGGTATCTTAAATAATTTCCTTTTACAATTTATTACAATAGTTTTAATCGTTTTGTTATTATTATTATGTTTAAACACCGCACTTAAATACTTTTATTTAGTAAAATTAAATAATAAAACGCACAAACACACACGCATACACACACACACACACTTGTTTGTTAAGAATCCGACATGTTACAGTAACGACAATAATTTCGCGGCATTGAGTTGAAATACTTGTCGATTGTCCGTTTTACGACATGATAGATGCCCCAGCCTAATCGTGGCTCTTACAATGTTTAGCTTATAATAATAAAACCGATATAATTACTCTGTTTGAAATAATAATGCGTTTATAACTTAATTCCAAAACGAATTATCTCACTTTTTCATTGTCGACAAAAAACCGTTTGGGTTTGAATTTTTTTGATCGTTATTAAAAACAATTTTTTTTATACAAAATAAAATATTATTATTATTATTATCGTAGAAATTATTTTATGGTAGTAGCGACGTTCAAAAAATAAATTTCAATTTGATTTTTTCATTCGACAAAACATATTTCATACATAGTTATTTCGTTTTTCTATTTTAGTCTAGAACATTATTATTTTTATATAAATGGAATTTCCTAAATTCAACTTAGCTAATAATCGGTTAGTTAAAATTTTCATTTTATGGATAAAAATAAACGATTTGAAAAAAAAAATACTTGAAATGTTAACTTTTACTTTATTTATAACAGAAAGGAATTATTCATTTTTTTTGTAAAAATAAATTAATTACTATTATTATTTAAAATAATGTGCCGCCATATTGTTTTTTTTTTGTTAAAGATTCAATAAGATTTATATACTTACTAAATAATTTTGGATTTAAATCTTTTTTTAAAAAAAAAACAATTTTACTTGTTAACGTATTTTTTTCAAAAAATTTACTAAATATTAATAATACTACTGAACATAATTTTTTATGATGATTTTATTAAAAAAAAAAAAACGTTAAGAATCGTTATTTAAATATTAAAATTTAAAAATAAACCTTCACATTAACCTTCACATCCACAATATGAAAAAATAAAATTATTTTTTTTTTTTTACATTATACAAACCATAAAAATTTCAAATTAATAAATAAAACCGCCAAAAATAAATTCTTTTCAAACACGCCAATCAGAGAGTCATCACTATTTAGTGTTCGAAACTCTTTTTTTAACTTGAATCAAAGAATAAATATTATTATTATTATTATTATTATTATTATTATTATTTAAATTAATGAAAATTCGTTTTAATATGAGGTTTAGTCTTTTGTAATATATTATTAATTGATGGCCAATCGTAAGGGTGTTTGAGTACTTATATTAAAATAAAATCATTATTATTATTATTATTATTGTTAAATTAAATTTTTTTTTTAGGTATATCTTTTGATAATATTGCATCATTTTCAAAAAAAAATATTATCGTTAAAAGAACTGTACAGGAAGTTTTTAAAACCGTTCGTGATAATTTTCAAAAATATAATAAAGGTACACAACCCTAATAATAATAATAATATCATTAATAATAAATTATTATTTCTGTCTCCATTTTGGGCCAAAAAAAAAAAAAAAAAACAATTTTATAACCTACTGGTTAAAGGTTAATATTAAATTTAGGAATCAGATATAGAATTAAATTATTTTTCATAATATATTATAGTAATGTTTCATTTTTATAAAATTTCATAAATTATTTTTGTTTTAGTAACTGATCAAGATCTTATTTCATTAAATGCTCTATTCGGTGAAACTTTTGAAAAAGCCCTTGAGATTTTAGAGGGAAATAAAATAACTTATTTTCATTTAAAACAAACAAATATTGGAATATATCAGGTATTGAACAATTATGTTTTTTTTTTTTAAAATAGTGCAAAGGTAAACATAAACATTAATAATTACATTTATGTTCGTTGTGATTTCAGGTTGAGGGTAGTTTGTGCAAGTCGTACATGATATATTCATCTGTAAATTATTGCTCATGTCCTTTTTACAAACATCAAGTTGCAGAAGGTGCTCAAATAATTTGCAAACATGTTTTAGCATCAATTCTTGCAGACATTACTGGTAAAAGATTGTCTATTGAAACAACTGATGAACATCTAAGGGATTTAATCCTTGAATCTGGTACAATTTTGAGTAAGTTTTATTTTTATGGAAAAATTACAAATGGTTTGATTATGCATACTAAAATAATAAATTTTTTTTTTTTTACAGGTCCTCATAATGAATGATAAAGAAGGTTGGAATACCAAAGATACATGCATGGAGCAATACATGTATTCATCACCTACAGCTCCTTTTATGTTTCCCGATTCAAATAATTGGTCACATGTTCCCCCCCAAACTATGCCATGGGGAACGCCTGCAGAATTACAACCGTCTGTTGTAAGATTTACAGCGGGAAATTTTAATGGATCTACTCTACTCTCGTGCAAAAGAAAAAGTGAACCACCTATAGATATGTGAGTAAGTTTAGTTTAATGTACTGAATAGTTCTATAATAAAACAATTATTAACTCGATTCTATAAATTTCTTATTGAACACCTTATTATAGAAATTTTAACTAAAGCTTATTTTAAATTTTTTCTTCTAGGCCTCCAGCTAAAATGTTGGTCACTGATGAAAAAATGGCTGCTCACATGCAAAGTCTTCACATTTCAGAAATTGAAAATGAAAAAATGCTTTCAAACATGAGTTGTAAAGATGAATCCATGGAAACTGATTCATTGCCTAAACTTATTTTAAGCGATGAAATTAAAAATTTAAAGACTGACATGATTTTTCCAGAATCAGTTTTTAAAAGATTGTTAGTATTTCCTAAAAATTATTATCATCTTGATTTTTTTTCATTCGAGAAACAATTTCAATTTTAAAACCTAAAATAAAATCTTGTCTTTTACAGGGAAAAACCAGAAATGGCGCTTGTTCTATGGCAGCCACCACTTATTAGTGTAGAAAGTAAATTAAACAAACTTAATAAGTCGTGCAAAACTAAAAATGAAGAGTCCGATGAAAAATCTACTGATAATAATAATAGTTTAAGAGAAAAAACAGATGATAAATCAATGGATATAACAATGGAAGCTAATATAATGAATAATATCGATAACACATTTAGACCCATAGATCCAGTACCGAAACCATCCACACCAACACAATATTATCAACCAGTACCTCATTTTCAAGGATACACTTCATTTTTTTAAATATTAAACCTTTTTTTTTGTTATGATACTGAAATAAAAAATATTGTGCCATTACAACAAAAATGTGTTATTAATAATTAATAACTAAAAATTAATAAAATTACAAAAGCGTTTAAATGATAATAAGCTCAAAACACATTATCGACTGAATGGTATTGTTAATATTTAATATAAAAACTAATTAACTTATTTTATTAATATTAACTGCCTTATTCCTAAATATATATTAAAAATTTGAATTTGTAGCTCCCTGTAAAAAAAAATTTTTTTAACTAACATACATCATTATTCGACAATTTATTATTATTTAATTAATAAATTAATTGTTTAATAATAATCGAGTACTTTTTCGCAGTTGGTTAAGTGATTTAAAATACATAGTAGTATTAGAGTTTTTAATTGTTATCATTTACTTAACCTTTTTTTTATTAAAAACATAATAATAATAATACTTTTATACTTGATTAATTTTAATGAAATTAATTAATTATAATTTTACTTTAAATTGTCATAAATAATTTTTAAAATATTTTTTTTTATTAGTAAAATATTATTAATATTAATAATTACTAATTGTAATATTTCTTTTTGGAATTTAGTTTAAAATTTAAAGTCAATAACAAAACTTTAAAAAAAAAAAAAAAAAGTTTTTTTAATTAATTAATTACCATGATTTTTTTAATTAGTGTACAAAATAATTTTTTTTTTTTTTTTTTTGTAATAAATTGATGATTTTTATTATGTATTTATTTTTTAAATTCATAACTGTTTTTATTGTTTACCATAAAAGAGTCTATTCTCTATCAAAAGGGAAAAAAAAAATATTTGTTTGAAAAATTAAGCTCAAGTTCCATTAGCCATTTGCAAAAAAACGTTCTGCTTTTTGTAAACAAAAAAATAAAATTTTGTTTCATTTAATTATTTACCATCGTTTAGTAATCAATTAAAAATTTTTTTGTTTTTATTAATAATAATTAAATAAAAATGTTTTTGTTTTGTTATAACATGTCTTAAAATTTAAAAGAACATTATTTAATGTTTTATGTATATTAAAGTTCAACGTTAGGGGAAGCCATTTTAATTTGACATGTTTTTTTTTATATTGAATACTTAAATATTGAGATTCGCATTTTTTAAATATTAAATTTTTCATTTAACGAAAAAATGGTCGCGATGATGGGTAATAAAGGTATACATATATATTATTTTTAATTGTTATTTATTAAATTAATATATTTTTAAAATTGTTTTATTTGCAATACTTCAAAAAGGAGGACCAGAAACTGATGAACAGCAAAGATTAAGATTTCAAGTTGAATTAGAATTTGTACAGTGTTTAGCCAATCCAAATTATTTAAATTGTAAGTAGTTTAATTTTATATAATTTAAATTTTGATTCAAATCAAATTTTATCTATTTGACAGATTTTAAAAAAGTAACAATTTTCTAATATAAATATTCTAATTTGTTATTATTAATTCTCTTTTGCTCATGCTGATGGTTATTTTTTTCTAGTTTTGACCAAAATTAAAAATTTATTGATCAATTGAAAACAAATTATTTTACAGTTTCTTTAAATACTCTTACTCTCTCTCTCTCTCTCTCTTATAAAAGACTAGTCGAATATATATTGCAAAATTTATTTATCGATACCAATTATAGAAATCATGAAAAAATACTTTTTAACTTGACCTTCATTAGTTTTAAAGTTTTTCATTTTTAACTGTTCTGTTCCAAAATATAATTTTATAAAATAAAAAACAATTTATCAAAAGTGTTAGGTTAATTTATCATTTAAATAACTTAAATCTCTTAGATATATTTTTTTTTCCTATTTATAGTTATTAGTCGAATTAAACCAGACGATAATTTCTTATGTCGAAAAAAATAAATTCTTTTACTTTATCTTTTTAATTATTGTTAATTTTTGTCTTCATTATCTGATATTAAGTTAAAATTTTTTTTTTTTTTTTAGTTTTAGCTCAAAGAGGTTATTTCAAAGATCAAACATTTGTTAATTATTTAAAATATTTATTATACTGGAAAGAACCTGAATATGCGAGATACCTAAAGTAAGTACTTTTACTTCTTATTTCGGTTGTTAATAACTTTTAATTTTAAATTAAATTATTGTTTAAAAAATTATTATGATTTTCAGGTATCCCATGTGTTTATACTTTTTAGACCTTCTTCAATATGAGCATTTTCGTAGAGAAGTTGTTAATGCTCAATGTACTAGATTTATAGACGATCAACAAATATTATTATGGCAACATTATACAAGGAGACGAACAAGATTATTACAGCAACAAGCCGATCAAAATCCTCCTCAGCCTCCTTGTTCGATTGTTAAAAGAGAAACCTAATCTGAATATTGTGATAATAATAATATTACAAAGAAAACAATCAACAGTTTAATTTCATCATTTTTTGTGGATATGAAGTTGTATTTTTCAATTTTTTACAAAAGGGAGTTTTAAATCGTTAAAAACATTTTGAAAATAAAACTGGGAATACATAAAGATGAAAATTAACTTTATGTGTGGTAATTAATTAAAAATAATAGTTAAATGTAATTAAACTTTTTAAAAATTTTAAAATCAAAAAAAAAAAAAAAAAAATTAAGAATACAAGCAATTAACAATACATTAAAAACGGTTTTTGTACAAGACTCTACCGCCATTTTTTTTTTTTTTTATTTCAAACCATTATTACCCTAAAGGTTAAATTTTTTAAAAACTATTAAAACATATTGTTTATTTTGTAAAAAAAAAAAAAAAAAAAACCATTTCTTTTATAACCAAATAGTGGATGAGAAGTAATGTTATTTAAACAATTTTTATTAGTTATTTGTGTATATCATATGTGTGTCACAATTAATAAATATAAAATTTGTACCATATATATATATTTGTAAAAATAAACGTTAATCATTATAAGTATGGGCTTGAAAGTAAATATATATGTATATGTATATAATATTAATATGGCCATCGTGTTAATTTAATTCATTTTGTAAACTAACCGAATATTTACATTACCGTAACGGAATTTTTAAAAAATCGTTATTCTTTCTCTCATTGAGTGAGTGATGTAAGTTATTCATTTGTGTTTCGCTTATCACACGGTTAACATCAAATAAATTTCTTTTTTTTTTTTTTTTTTTTCAGAATTATTGACAAAAGGTGAGTGAGTTTATTGATTTTTATATTTACTTTACTTATTAAATTACAAAAAAAATTTTTTTTTTTTTTTACATTTAAAAATTTATAAATTTTGAAAATTATCATTTGTCATATTTATTCATTACTCCCCTTTTTTTAATCAAAAATTATTATTATTATTTTTAATTTTGATTGATATTACCCTTATTAAGTAACTTATTGCATTTCTTAATTACTGTAATTGAAAAAAAAAGAAAATTTTAAATAATTCTTACCTGGATAATAAAATATCCGTTGAAAACTTGAAATTTATATATGAAGTCATTATTTAACGACTTTTTTTTATTTTTAAACTAATTTATTAACATTTACTTATTTATTTTCACATATATATTTAATTTAAACGATTTTACTCACGCATAACACACAAATATTAATAATTATACTTATTTTTTTAACCAATTCGTATCCATTTTGTTTTTCTGTTTGTTCGGCGCGAAAATTTGTGTCACGTTTGACCGTAACGGTTTGCATTATTATTATTATTCGCACGACTCACGTGGTCATCGCGGTCGTGTCAATTTATTGTCCGCGCCATTAATTATAATTCGTTATAATTTTTTTTTTTTTAAATATGGAGCTCGAAAACTATTTTTTAACGACAATATATATCATAAAAATCATTTATTTAAAACTAAACTACTTTTTTACGATTCGCTCCTCCTCGCCCTCCCGCCCATGCTATAAAAACATAATAATAATAATTTTTAACGAATACCATACTTGATCGATTTCGATTTTTATTAATATGTATTAATTAAAAAATATAAAAATAAACGAACTGGAAAACAATTAAAAATGGCCTCTTTAAAAAAACGTAATGACGATGATGATAATGATGATGATAATGCAGACCTCGTTAAGGTAACGTTAAGTAAGGTAGAACCAGATTAACCTTGACCCTCAACTAGTAGTTTTTGTTATTGAAAATTGTAAAGACATAAAAAAAATTATTCAAATATGGTGATATGTATTATGTCTTAATAAAATTAATAATTTTTTTTTTTTTAATAAGTTATAATAATGATAATAAATAATGTTTATTTTTTTTCCCCCCCAAAACAGAAATGTGATAAAAACAAAAAAAATAATCAATTTGTGATTGAATTGGAATGATATAGATGATGGACAAAAGAATTAAAAAATTATTATTTACTATTATAATAGTCTTATCATTATGGGTGGTAAGTAAATCAGCTTTTACAATACCTTAAACCTAAACCTGAACCTAAAAGACACCTGTTCTCGATAAGAAAATTACAATTAATTATAAATAATAATAATAATAATAATAATCACGTCACAGTATGGACGAAATATATACCGTTAATGATAATATTATTATTACTGTAATTTAATAATAATTAATATTTTAAACACGTAAAATATCATAGCGTCGTTATATTAATTTAGAACGAATTTCCCTTTTCCCCCTTCTCTCCCATTCCTCCTCTCTCTCTCTCTCTCTCTATTCCCATATTAATAATTTGAATTTTTTTTGTTTTTAGTGTTTGTCGGAATGTAAAAAAAAAAAAAAAAAAGAAACGGATAAAAAACCCAACGAAACCGAAACGAACATATTTAATTTTTTAAGATTATTTTTTTTCCGTATGATTTACGGTTTTGCAACAATGTTCGGAGCACAAGAAGATATTTCGGATTTTATGGGTGGAATATTTGTTCCTCCTGGAGCCGATGATGCTGAGTATAGAGATTATCTCGACGGAGATCAAGTCGACGACGTTTACGATTATTAATTTTAATTTTAATTTTTTTACTAAATAAAAAAAATTGTGTACTTATTATTATTATTATTATTATTTGTTTAAAATAAACAGTAAATTAAATGAATTTTTTTTTATTTGACGTTTCGTGTGATTACTCTTGACAAATGATTTTTTTTTTTTTTTTTAAAGAACGTTGAACTTGCACCGTCACCTTAAATTAATTTGTGATAATCATAAAAAACTACTACTACTACTACTACTAATAATAATAATAATAATAATAATAATAATATTTTGAGAATTAATTATAATTTTTTTTTTTAAATTTAAATGTATTAGAAAACCTTTAAA